AGCTCTGGGACAGGCCGCCGCGCATCCCCTAGGCCGCCCCGCCCCTCCACCTCCCACTCCCTCCCCTGCCCGGGGGCTGGGTAGTGGCGCAAGTGGGCACCAGGGGCGCTGCGGTGCGCTAGGGAGCGCGAGACCAGTGGGCTGGGGCGTAGTCTACGCAGCTACTTGCTCGCCTCGGGCCCTGCGGAGGACGCTTCCCATGGTCAAATGGCCGGCGGCCCGCAGAGCCCCCGGAGCGCTCACACGCGGCCGCCGCTGCTGCTACTGCTGCTCTTCGGGCTGATGCGGGAGCGCGCCGCAGGTGAGGGGGCGGGGCGGCGGTCGGTAGGGGAGAGGTGCGCGGGCGGTGTTGGGGGAGGTGAGGGAGACAGCGGCTGAAAGTGGGGAGGCCAAACCAAACCCGTTGCTGTCGAGTCAATTCTGACTCATAGCGACCCTATAAGACAGAGCAGAACTGCCCAATAGGGTTCCCAAGGAGAGGCTGTTGGATTTGAACTGCCGGCCTTCTTGGTTAGCAGGGTAGTTCGCCGTAGCTCTTAACCACTGAGCCACCAGGGCTGTTTGTGGGGCGGCCACTTCCGGGATTTGGAGGAATGGTGAGATGGAGCGCCGACCAGGACCTCGGGGGCGGTGTGTCCCGGGCTAGGGCTGGGCCCGGGTCGCGGTGAGCGGCCCTGCGGGTGGGGACCCCGGCAGACAGGCGGGCTGCGGAGGAATGGTGACCCCCCCCCCTCGGGACCCAGCCGGCGCCACAGAGTCCTGGGGGACCCCCGTGAGCCCCTATTCGACGCCGCTCGCGCTCGGTCCCGGAAGTGGACCCTCCAGGAAGGGCCCTGAGGAAGCTAGGGGAGAGGAACGTCCCTTTCCACCTAACTGGGTCGAGTCACGCTCATCTCAGGATCGCGTTGGAGCTTCTTACCCCATTCGCCAGTCTCTTTCCGATTGTCCGGGAAGTCTTGAAAAAAAGACTTCTCCTTCTGCGGCCCCTGGCGGAGGAGGTGGAGGGTGCGCAGGGGCTATGGGGATTTCTCTGACCTGGCGTGAATTTCCATTCATTCTCAATTTCGCTTTTGCCAGAATTGCTGGCCGGCGCAGCGCGCAAGCCTGGCGGCATCCTGGATTCCCAGCCGCACACGTGCGGGTTGGTTAGTAGCGCCCACAGGGAGCTGTGTCTACCATCATAGTAGTAATAACAGCTAGTGTGCTTCATGCCACGCTCTAAGTGCCTTACATCCATGAGGCCATTTCGGCTCT